GAGGAAAGAGAAAAGGACAGGAGAGAGGTAGAGCGGGAGGAGGGAGGGAGAGAGAAAAAACAGGAAAGAGAGAAAGGGAGAGAAATGAGGAGGCGGTAAGAGAGAGGGGAGAGAAAGAGAGGGATAGACAGAAAGACAATAAAGGAAAAGATAGAGAAGGTGGTGTAGACAGAGAGAGGGAGAAAGAGGGAGGTGGAGAGAGAGAAGGAAGGAGAGAAAAAGGGAGAGGGAGGGATGGAGGGGAGAGAAAGGAAGAGAGAAAGACGAAGAGAGGTGGTGTGGATGGAAAGGTAAAGAGAGGAGTAGGGTGAAAGAAAAAACAGATGAAAGAGAGAAAGAGGGAGAGACAAATGGGAGGAGAGGGAGGAGGGGCTGAGAGAGAGAGAGAGAGAGAGAGGAGAGAAAGAGAGGGATGGACAGGAAGGATGTAAAGGAAGAGACAGTGAGGGCGATGGCGAGCGAGCAAGAGAAAGATGGAGGTGGAGGAAAGAGAAAGGGACGGGGGAGAGGTAAAGAGAGAGGAGGAAAGAGGGAGAAAAACATGATAGAGAGAAAGAGAGAGAAGGAGAAGGGAGGAGAGAAGAAAGAGGACGTGAAAGACAGGATATAGGGTGGTGTAGACAGAGAGAGTGAGAAAGAGAGAAAGAGGAACAGAGGGGAGAGGAAGGAAGAGAGGGAGAGGAAGGGAGGGTGAGGACACAGAGGTAGAGAGAGGATGACCTAGAGAGAAAGAAGAGATGAAAGAGAGAGAGAGAGAGAGAAAGGCAGAAGGGAGGAGAGAGAGAAGGGGGAGAGAGGGGGAGCGAAAGAAAGGGTGAAGGAGAGATGTTGGAGAGTTGGATAGAGAAATAGAGAAGGAGGGAGGTAAAATTGGAGGAGGAGGGAGAGAGAAAGAACGGATGAGAGAGAGAAAGGGATAGATAGGGAAGAGAAGAGCGGAGGGAGAGAAGACGAAAGCAAGAAGGGGGCAGAGGGGAAGGAAAGGCAAGAAGACAAAAGAGCGACAGATGGGGTAGAGGACAGGAAGAGAGATATAAAAAAGAGAGGACAGAGAGAGAGAAGAAGAGAGGAGTGGAATATTGTTACCCCAGTCACATCGTGGGCTGAAGATGGAGGGATGATTTATGGGGCGGAGGGCAGGAGAAGAGAGGGAGAGGTGAGTGTGGTCAGTAGTTCAGCGCACACTGGCTTTGATATGTCCATTCAAATCAGTGGGCTGTGATCACTTTTAATCATATGCTAATTACTATGCAGGCAAATTCACTTAGCTCTATTATTCAACTGATGACGGCTTTGATGAGTAAAGAAAGTCTCATATAGTGTTAATGAAGCTGTGAAGGTACCTCCAATTACTCACAAATTAGTTTTTCAAATACACTTTACGTTTTCTGATGCTTTAAAGGGTCCATATTACGCTGTTTTCTAACTTGTGTTAAAATGTTGTAGCACTTGTGGTCAGATAAAGAGGCTTCAGAGAGGGTATATTTACGTCCATTTAATGCCGTATGCACTGAAACACAAGAGATACATTAATGACCACGCTATAGGGGAGTTTCATTGTTGACAAAAGCGCGCGTTGCATGCTGGGAATTATTTTGGTCGGCGGCAAGAAACACTAATTCAATATGACGGATGGAGCGAGAAAGCACGTAAAGGGTTATTTATTCACTCTAACGGCAGAGGACCCAAGACGATTTGACCAGAAATTGGTCATAAGCGTCGACGGAGCCAAATCACCCTTTTCAACCCCTACAAAAGGTGGACCAAACCAAATTTCAGGTCGGAATCGCCAACTACCTGGACAAATATTCACTTCGATGATATCCACAATGACTTGGTGGAAACTCCTGGGCCATTCACAGCACAAAAGATGAAAGTCTACAAGAGTCTCGATGTGTTGTTGAACTTGTTGGAGTCACGTTTTGCTAGGATCTTCTACGTTTGCTCTGCGGATGTTTGAAAGCCATTTAATTCGCCGTTAGCAGTTCTTTTCACTTGTAATACGAAAAAGACATTTTCCTTCTTCCGTGCTTCTATTTGTGCATCCGATAATGCAGCAGGAATTTACCATTATCGTGGATAAATACGTGAGGTTACACACTGTGTTTGACCGCTATCATGTTTCTTGCCTCCGACCAAAATATTTCCCAGCATTCAATGTGGGCTTTTAATAACAATGACGTCAGCTGAAACCCCCCTGTTCATGTCCAGGCACACTTTACAATTAGGACCTGCGAGGACCCCACCGAGTTGTCTTCCCCTGCCTGTGTGCATCCCCAGCATATTTCCTCTCTACAATCGTATCTGTTTCTTGTGCACATGAAATATAAAAAAATTAATAAATACAATTTCCTTTATACAAATCTGATATAAAATAATAAAAAATAAACAGAGGTGGGTGGTGCTTTCTAATTCATTATCATTACTGTGCCTGCTTAATACTATTGGTCCCATAATGTTGTTTCCTAATCACAAACAAACCTAGAGTTGTGTTTTGTTTCATTCACACGTTTAACACACAAATCCTGCTTATTTAGGCTGAGTTCTTCTCTCAAACAGAAAAACACCTTGTGATGTCAGAAAGTGCTCCACGTGCGCATGTTATACATCATTATAAAGTTTAGATTCTCTATATTATGTCCATTTAATCCACTTTACAGACAGATAAATGTCTTAATATGTGGCGCTGCATCAGTATTTATCTGCTAGTAATTTGTCTGTGTTTATGACAGCGTGCTGCCCCTGAACGCACCCTCAGAGTCACGTCACTCACGTGTGCTTGTTTACAAACACAGCTGCTGTCAAAATGCTGGATTATATTCTTTTTACGGATGATCTTTTTGAGTCAGGATTGAAAGGTCACTTATTTGTGAAGACTTGAGGTGTCTGTGTGAGCGGTGAGTGTTGCAAATGTGTCGATTTTGAAGCTACTTTTGGTTCTTTCTCATTGTTTGGCTGCTGTAGCTCCCAAACATAAACAGCCTGTTTTCTCAGACATTGGCCTATTGTAAAGTGACTACAGTGGCTGTATATATGTTTGCATTGATATGTAAATGCTCTGTGAATAGAGGTGTAAATGGTGGCATTTACGTATGATTTATTGCCGCGGCGCGCATGGATTTACCGCTAAAGAGTGATAGCGGTAGTTTACTTACTTTGTTTACAGGCTAGAATGTGATACAAAAATACTGTTTTTAAATATAAATGTAAAGAGGCAGTATAACAAAAAATGTAGCCTAAATAAACCCAATATAAAATCCAATAGAACCAAACCTAAGTTTTATAATCATTTGAACATTTACAGTGAAATTTTACATCACTAAATATATCGGCTTTTATATCAGCTATCGGCACATTCAACTCCTGTTTTATTGGTATCATATCGCCCTACTCCATACACCTTCACTAGGATGATTTCACCCTTGGAATTGCCAATCTCTACTGAACTAAAGGTAAACGGTAGCTGCTAACTTGAAAAAATACCACTTGATGACATCACAAGGTGGGACAGAGCATTGTGAGCTTTGGAAATGTAGACAGACTAATAATAAAGGATGACTCAAACATGATAATATTCTGTGGAAATAGAAAAGCAATAGACATAAAGAGGTGACTTTCTGTTTTCACAATCATACACATAATATTATAGCCTTCATAACATTTTGGAAATATTTATACCAAAGTGAAAAGTTATTGACTTACTGGAGTTTAACAACAATATTGTTAAATTGGAGCAGCAAAACAATTCCTGGATATCTGTGTTGTCTGAAAATAATGGACCACCCCCTGATACACTTGAAACAAAATCATCTCCATGTAAATGAGCTTTTCCCAAACGAGGCTTGTGTACTCTGAAACCAAGTCCAACATTTCTTCAACCAAACTCAACTATGATAATTATTGCCCATATGAGCAGTAAAAGTACAAATAGTAGTATTACTATCACATGTGTGGGTATTGTAGTATAAGAAGTAGTTTTCTTACCATCAAAAGTATGAGTAATGCATCATGGACAAAATAGGAGCTTTACTAGCAAATGTCTGAGCAATGTAATATATTGTAGTAAAAAAAAAAAAAAAATGCAATACCCATATTACCCATACATGTAACAGTAAGAACAGATTACATGAATGGGTAATGGATTATGTGTAAGTCACTTATATGTGTTATGTATTATGGGTAATGTAGTTCCCTTACATCACATATATGGGTAATGTATTGTGGGAAATGTATTTCCCTACCATAGTTCCCTCATGTCACATGTATGGGTAATGTATTGTGGGTAATGTAGTTCAGTTACATCACATATTTGGGTAATGTATTGTGGGTAATGTAGTTCACTAACATCACATGTATGGGTAATGTATTATGGGTAATGTAGTTCCCTAATGTCACATATATGGGTAATGTATTGTGGGTAATGTAGTTGTTACATCACATATTTGGGTAATGTATTGTGGGTAATGTAGTTCACTAATGTCACATATATGGGTAATGTCTTGTGGGTAATGTAGTTCGTTACATCACATATTTGGGTAATGTATTGTGGGTAATGTAGTTCACTAATGTCACATGTATGGGTAATGTATTGTGGGTAATGTAGTTCGTTACATCACATATTTGGGTAATGTATTGTGGGTAATGTAGTTCGTTACATCACATATTTGGGTAATGTATTGTGGGTAATGTAGTTCACTAACGTCACATATATGGGTAATGTATTGTGGGTAATGTAGTTCTCTATTGTCACATGTATGAGTAATTATTACGGGTAGTGCAGTTCCCTTAGGTCACATATATGGGTAATGTATTATGGGTAATGCAGTTCCTTTACATCACATGTATGGGTAATTTATTGTGGGTAATGTAGTTCCCTTACTGTCACATATGGGGGAAATGTAGTCACCCTTACATCACTTGGATGGGTAATGTATTATGGGTAATGTAGTTCCCTTATCGTCACATGTATGGTTAATGTATTATGGGTAATATTCCCTTACCGTCACATGTGTGGGTGTTGCACAGGGCCTCCTCTGTGTGCAGGCCTATGCAGATGTCTCCTCCATTAGAAGGGGACGGGCTGTTACAGGAGCGTGTCCTCTGATAATGTCCTCCTCCACAGCCCACAGAGCACGGAGACCACGAGGACCAGCACGACCACGAGCCCTTCACTGAACACACAAGAAAGAAAAAAACAAAACACATATTTAAATAATGATTTTTTTTTTTTTTAGCTTTATGTTTTCCAATGCTTTTTATATTTTGTTTTCATGTAGGATTTAGTGTCTTTTACTGTTTTAATTTGTCTGTGCAGCACTTTAGATATGTCACATTTGTAAAATATGCAGTGGGACGTCTTAATATAATCTTCAGAAGTAAACAGTATGTATCATCAAAGTAATGAGAATGGCACAGATGGCCCTTGGAGCAATCCTCTGTAGGTTTTCCCTCAGTACACATAGTGAACTTGTGGTCTCACTAGTGCTGCTTCAAAGCTCAGGGCCACTCCAAAAGAATACTGCTCCAACACTGCAGTTACTCCACTTTTGAGGCGTAAACCATCAGGGACTAAGCCAGGTCCCCAGAGCAAAACTAGTACAACAAAAGACCACCCCCAGAGGAAACCCACCACCTGAGAAACACCACTACAGTCTCAAGTTTGACAACTCCACAGCAGGGGGCAGTAAGTTTATAGTCCAGTTATCAACATTGGACTGACTGATCGTTTGACAGCTCTGTTTCTCTTTCCTTCTCTCTCCACTCCCTCTCTCTCCTGCTAAATCACCATCACGTTACCTCTTCAAACCTCTCTTTTTCTCTCTCCTTCCATCTCGCTCTCTCTCACACCCCCACGCTCTCTCCTAACATATCTCTCTCTTTCCCCTTCTCTCTCCTCTCTCTCTCCTACCATAACCCTCAACCATATTTCTCTCCTCTCTCTATCTCTCCTAGTATCTCTCTCACTCTTTCTTTTTCCTCTTTCCTACCATCTCTCTCTCTTTCCCCTTCTCTCTCCTATCTCTTTCCCATATGTCTCTCTTTCCCTTTCTCTCTTCTTTCTCTCTCTCCTACCATGTCTCTTGCTTTTCCCCCTTCTCTCTTCTCTCTCTCTCCTACCATATCTCTCTCTTTCCCCTTCTCTCTCCTCTCTCTCCTACCATATCTCTCTCTTTCCTTTTCTCTCTCCTCTCTCTCTCCTACCATATCTCTCACTCCCCTTTCTTTCTCTTCTCTCTCTCTCCTACCAATAGCTCTCTCTTTCCCCTTCACTCTCATCCCTCTCTCCGCCCATATCTCTCTCTTTCCCCTTCTCTCTCCTCTCTCTCTCTCCTAGCATCTCTCTCACTCCTCTTTCTTTTTCCTCTCCCCTACCGTCTCTCTGTCTTTCCCCTTCTCTCTCCTCTCTCTCTCCTATCATACCTCTCACTTTTCCCTTCTCTCCTCTCTCCTACCATATCTCTCCTTCCCCTTTCTCTCTCTCTTTCTCTCCTACCATATCTCACTCCCCTTTCTCTCTCCCCTCTCTCTCCTACCATACCTCCCCCTCTCATCTCTCTCTCCTACCGTGTCTCTCACTCCCCCTTCTCTCTCCTCCCTCTTTCCTACAACAGCCCCCAACTCCTCTCGCTTTCCTACCACATCTTTCACTCCCCTTTCTCTCTTGTCTCTCTCTCTTACCAGACCCCCCCCCCCCCCTACCATCTCTCTCCCTCCCTCCTCTCTCCTCATTTCTCTCTCTTTTCCACCCCTCCACCCCCCTCTCTCAGTGTCTATATAGGTCAGAGGTAGGACTGTGTGTGTAATTGATCTGACTGTACCTCTCCGGAGAAACCATTCATTTCAATCTCCTCCCAGACGCCCTCTGCCTCTCTGTCCACACTTCATCTGATGCTATCGCTCCCTCTCCCCATCCACTCTCCTCTCTTTCCCCCTCTCCTCCCATTCTCCATCTCATTCTCCCTCACCTTCCACCCTTCTCCCCTTCCACTTTCTCACTGTCCTGTCCAATCCACTCTCCTTCCTTCCTTCCTCTCCGTCCTCTCTTTTTTGTCATTGTCCCTCTCTCTCTCTTTCCCTCCCTTCTCTTATTTCTATTTACCTCCCTCTGCCATATCTTCCCTCTCCCTTCACACTCTCCATCTCTCTCTTCTCTTCTCTATATCATTTTTTTAAACACCTCCACTTATTTTTCTCCTCCCCCTTTCTTCTCCTATCTGTCTCTCTCCCTCTCTACTGCGTCCTCTTTCTCGGCTCTATTGTCCACCTCCCCTCGCTCTCATTGCTTCTCTTTCATCCCTTTCTTCCTCCTTTGTCTCTCTCTTCTTCTCTCTCTCCCTCCTTGATTCTTAATACTGTAAGATCTGCAAGTCTTTCTCTCCTCTCGCCTCCTTTCTCTCACTTTCTCTCACTATCTTTCTCTCCTCTCTCTTTCTCTTCGCCTTCAGTTTTAATAAGATCTGCAGGTCTCCACATGGCAAAGGTGTTATGACAATGGGACACATGACTAAACAGTCTCACACATACGGGCGACTTCCTGGACAGCTCGGAAAACGTGTCAGAGGTTTAATTAGCGCAACTGATAACAACGCAATGCTAATAAATGAATGTGCAGAGTTCTTTGTGGTAATCTGTTCATGTCTAACCGGCACAAGAAGGTTTTAGGTTCAGTTGCCAGTATGCATGTTCTCCCTGTGTCTCAAGAAAATGAAATAGATTTAAACTGAACTTATCCATGGCTGAAGTAAGTCTACATGAGGACTAACACAAACAAGATACATTTCAAAATTAAACATTGCATCTTAGAAACACGTGAGTACGACCAAAAGTAATCCATGCTATCACTTTAAAGATCACATACTGTGCTTGAGCCTCTATATAGAGGGATTATCATACTACTTCACTCGGTGCTTTTACTGCGCATGTCTCCTGCAGTTACAGGCTGCTATTCCGACATGACGCTATTGAGACATTGACGTCTAATTGTCAGAGCAGCGGCATAAACATTATTTTTCAAGTGACCCACTACTCTGACGTTTTTGTTGTTTTTTTATTTCGGACCAACTTTACTATTTTTCAAACATGTGATTTTAAATCTCAATAGTCATCTAAAACAGCTTAATTAAAGAAACAGTCTGCAGACTACGGCTTTAGAAAGACGTGGTGCCCAGTGGGAGTTGACATCCCCATAAACATCATAACAACACAGAGTCGATGTGACAGATTTCGTGGGGCCGGTGTGTACATGGCTCATATCCCGCACGCCACAGAAAGTCGCCCTCTGCAGACAGATGCACAGGCATCTGCGCAGACATCTGTCCCAGGGCATCTGTCCCAGGGCATCTGTGTGGCTTCCTTTCTGGCCTGTCTGAAGTGGAGATGTAGATTTACAGGCTCGTCTGTTGTATTTGTTGTATTTAATTGACCTCCATTATCTATCAGCTATTCTCCTTGGACACCTATGTTGCATGTTTTTTGGTCAAACATGCTGACACTCTCGCTGTGCCTCATATGAACCTCAGGAATGATTTCATAATGTGAAATACACTCAAAAGAAACATGGATACTTCATTTAAAACAATATATTAGGTTTATTAAATCTGGGGTCTTGCAAACCATACTCACATCACCTCATGTGACATATCACCACCAACAGATTCTTAACACCGGCAATATCTGCACATCACACTAACGATCAGCAGATTGTTTTTGTCATTTATACCAAAATGACTACACTACGCTGCTGAACGCTACACGTATCACTGATTGAGAAAATAACATTGTAGAACAAAGTACAGAGCAGTACTGGTGGCGGTGAACACGGAGGTTGACCGGCAATATGGTGTCTTGAAAATAAGAGAATAAACTTACTCAAACGTGCACTCCAAATACATCTTCGAGAGGGTAAACGAGAAGGGGGAACAGCTATAACATGATTAAAAGCTCTGAAAAGTCCATTTTGCAGAATAGGTCTGCTTTAAGAAACCCTGTCCTTGACTATGGTCGCTGGGCATGGCTCATTGCTCCTGATAGGTTGCTCCAATAGTAATGAAGTACACAGTAAAGGATAGGCCTAGTTTAACCTTTAAAGAGTACCCATACTGCATTCATTACAAACGGGATAATCACGTACATTGGTCTCTTAGTCTCTTAATTGCATGCAGTTGTTGGTATGACTTTTTTATTATTACATGTACAACAGATAATGTCCTACAGCTAAGATACTCTAACCAAGTTAATGAGGTGGAAATCAAGGTAAAGTAGTACTAAACAAGACTAGCTCAAGATTTGCAGATGGGTCCCCACAAATCTTGAAAGGCTGCCCCAGAGACACTGAAGGAAGGGGCAAACGCAGAGGACAAAAGCATATGTTAACTATCCTGATACTGCCCTCATTTACTCATTGTCTGGTCATGTTTGTTTGTGACTAACTGGTGACTCACTGGTGAACTCAACCAGTAGTTAACCAAGTCCCTGGAGCATGTGGGGTAGTTACTGTAGATGATGTCATAGAGGGACTAGTCACAGAAGAATAAGAGAGTGAGAGATACTTTATTGACCCCAAAGGAAATTCAAGTTTCACTGCAGCAACATTTACACCGCACGCCTCAGTGGCCTTTGTGTCTCAATCAAAGGTCTTAGTGCAGTTTAAGACGAGGACTGGTCAGGCAGGGTCAGCAGATCCTGTGGAAAAGCTAAAAGTGTCCCTCCTCTGTGTCACAAAAGCATCCAGGTGAAAATAACAGGAAAAGCCTCGTTCTAACTCCGCTCTGGTGTTTCAGTTGGTGATACTTCATTTCCTCAAAGGGTTTCTTCGACCACATTTGCTGCCACATATGGTGTGAAAAGCCTAGCTGCATCACTAGCTGCTGCACGGTCTTGTGTCTTTTGAACTGCACACGCCGCACTTCTTAGTCGGTTAACATCCCATGATATGATGTTAAAAACTGAGCTCAAAAAACAACACAAAAGAGGCCTACATGAGCCAAAAGCATCGCTACAAAAAGACAATGTTTACTATCAACAATCCTATTCAACATTTACCAGCATTGTAAATAAAGTGAGTCACAAGTGAGCACAGAAGACTATAAGTGACTAAATAGTGACTCATTATAAACAGAATAGTGCTGATGTCTCTTATGGCGTCATTTCATATAATAAGCTCCTTTACTTATTAATTATATTTGGTGAAGGGAAAAGTGAAATTTATTAAACTTTTCACAAATATAGCATTTTTAAAACAATAAAAGGTAAGACAGTGATCAAACTACTTGATGTATTAGCAGTTAATACCCCATAGAAGTGTAATACCCCCTCTTAAATGATCCTATACCCAAAAGTAGAGATTGGCAATTCCAGGTTTGAAATCACATAAATGATTCTAGTGAAGGTGTATGGAGCACTTCCTGTTTTACCACATGACATCACATGTGTTTTCTATTTGTGAGAAGAACAAAACATGCAGGGTTTGCGTGTTAAATAAGTGTGAATGAAAAAAAAAAATTCCAGGTATGTTTGTGATGAGGAAACAACATAATAACACAGATCTGAAAATAGCGTAATATGGGTCTTTGAACTCTGGTCTAGTGTTCTTTGAAGTAAACTTGGCTCAGTTCTTTGCATGTTAGAGCTGACATAAAGGCCAGATGCTTTAGCACCTCCTCTGCGTTAATGAGAGACCTTTGGATGGCCTTTATCTCTGTCTGAGCTTTAAACACAAAACAAGACAAGGTACAATGTGTTTCATCAGATGGCAATAAAGGTTTAAGTACCACTGAGGAATCGTCTGTGCTTAAAAACTATGTTGAACTCTTGTGATTGTAAAGGCGTCACTTTTCTCATGGAGCATCTGCCACATGCTTGTCTGCATGGAGGTGTTATTCCTTTGAATGTTCCATGGTCTGGCAGGAAATTCTATTAAAGGTATCTTTTATTGCTCAGATATACCTTAAAAATGTGCCTTTTTACTGCAGGATTATCTCTTCACAGATCTAATCTGGTGAATCCGTTCATCCATCCATCTATCTATCCATCTGTCTATTTATCTATCCACCCATCTATCTATCCACCCATCTATCTATCTATCTATCTATCTATCTATCTATCTATCTATCTATCTATCTATCTATCTATCTATCTATCTATCTATCTATCTATCTATCTATCTATCTATCTATCTATCTATCTATCTATCTATCTATCTATCTATCTATCTATCTATCTATCTATCTATCTATCTATCTATCTATCTATCTATCTATCTATCTATCTATCTATCTATCTATCTATCTATCTATCTATCTATCTATCTATCTATCTATCTATCTATCTATCTATCTATCTATCTATCTATCTATCTATCTATCTATCTATCTATCTATCTATCTATCTATCTATCTATCTATCTATCTATCTATCTATCTATCTATCTATCTATCTATCTATCTATCTATCTATCTATCTATCTATCTATCTATCTATCTATCTATCTATCTATCTATCTATCTATCCATCTATCTATCTATCTATCTATCTATCTGTCTGTCTGTCTGCAGGATTGCCTCTCCACAGATCTGATCTGGTGACTCCATCTGTTTTCTTGGGGATACAGTATAGTCATTTTGATGCAATACAGTGGAACATTCCTGGCAAAGCTGTAACATCGCCATAGAAACAAACAGGTAGCATGCCCTCAGAACCCCCCAGAAAAGTTACATAGTGCTCCTTTAAGGCTATCTATCTGTCCATCCATTCATCCATCCATCTATCCATCTACCCATTAGTCTATCCAGCATGTGTACAGCATGTAGGCCAAGATCAGCAGAGTGAATTTTATAACAATTCTTTGAAAATTTGATTCTAATTGTCATTTCTCAAGTGACGGTGAAACTTCAGAAATGGCTCAGATTCAAAGCTAGTCTGTGTTCACACCAATTGTTCAGTTTTGGCGTCTGCTCGGAGGAAAACAATAGCTGGACCCTTCATTGCAAACTGTGGTGTCATCTTATTTCCATACCAAAATACGACCAAGATCTGTTACAAACTTTATGATTCTGTCTTAACAAAGAATCTAAAACACCAAATAGAATCACCCCCTCAACTTCTCCATCTCCTGATCCTCACCACCACTAATGACTAGGGTGTAGATTGAAATATTTTCCTTAACAAATCTTCCCCACAAAACCCAGAAACTAATAATAATCCTTATTCAACTGGGATGAGTTTTACCTGGGGTCCCTTGGTAAATTGTAATAATTTCGGGTGTCATCTGTGTTTGTAGTCTGGTATGAATCATCCATGACTGTAAAAATGCCTGTAAAAATTCCCCTGAATTTGACCTCCTGTAATTCTGCAAACTCAGAGCTCCTCAGGTGAGTCTAGTCCCGTGTGAACGCTCGTGTCTGTAAACTGGCCTGTTTTTCGTCTGTGTTGAGGCGAATAGTGATTGAAAACATCTCTACGGCCCATTTAAGGTCAAAATATGAACAAAATCAGCAATATTTATTTTCTGCAGACTATACTCTAATCCAGCTATTTTTATTTCTACAATTAAAAAGTAAAAAACATAAAACTAACTGTGGTAAAGACGAGACCCAGACATGCAACCATGTTGTCGTGGGAACCAAGAACCAGCAGCATGGAGCCTATATAGAGAAGTTTGGGTGCTTTTGGTGCAAAGTTTGTAAAGTTTGGATGGACTGGCTGTATCAGCGTGACTGGATTAACAGAGACACTGTGGCTGTTTCATGACAAATCTAGTCGTGTTGATGTCACTGTGATCAGTAAGAAACACAGTATTTGACACTACAGTGCAGGAGCATTCTGTTAAAAACAAACTGATGTCAGCGACATAATGAATTAAAAGGTTCTTCTCTTGTTTGGTGTGTTTATCAATACAACATTTCTGGAAATAAAATCTGTAAAAAGTAGTAGTTTACTGACATGTCTTATGCTGTGTGAATGTACACAACAGCATTCATAAGCGTCTTTTTGGGTGTCCAAAAATGCGTTATATAAGTTAGATGTATTAATATTATTATTAAAAAACAGACATGGTAAATTTTAAAGACGTCCCTTAGTAAAACTAATCCCGTGCGAATATGGTCTAAGTCTAATTTACACAAAACTAACAACAGAAAGGATATTCCAGTATCTTTTTTCACCCGTCTTTAAATGTCACTGGTGTAACCAATCAGGAGCAGTGGGACCCATTTCCATGATTTTATTACTAATTTTGGTCAGAACTACTTTAGCTGTAGGATTTTGCTTATGGTGCATGTTTTGAATTGATGAGAGAACCCAGAATGTCCAGATGAGGCCCACCCAGACGTAACAAGAAGATACAAACTCTGCACAGAAATACCATGGGAGCCTGAGATTCGAACTCAGAACCTTCTTGCTGTGAGGTGCTGGCCACTCAACCACCGTCAGAAATGTACTAAAATGTGCCAGTAAATGTCTCTATTGAGATTCAAGTCATGCAAAAAAGTAAACAGACTAGGAGTAACCATTAAAGTGCAGAAATATGACTTTATACTCTTTTGGAAGTTTGCAATAGCAGTTTCTCTTCTAAACCCTTCCTCACCTGGACAGGCCTGTACGTTGCAGTCCTGGTACTCCACAGGTGAACCTCTGCAGCCTATGGGGGCGCTCTTTCCCTCCGGACCACTGCAGCTCCGTCGTCGGGTGCGGTATCCACGGTTACAGCTCTGCGTACATGACGACCAGCTGTCCCACGACGACCAGCTGTTCCCCGCCACCCGAACCACTGGGGCTTTGAGCAGCTCCTCCACCAGGGCTAGAAGAAATATATGTACACGGGGGAATTACTGACAACACCAATACTGTAGCCTACTGTATGAGCCAGAACAGTAATGGAACATATTTCTTCTGCGCCATCAAACCCTCCGATCACCACCAACACTCACACACACACACACACACACACACACACACACACACACACACACACACTGCTTTCATACTAGCCAAGGTGAGTGGAGTGTCATGAACAGAACTAAACTGTGGTAATTGTCTGTCTACAATTTTGAAGGATAGCACAGTTATTTTTATCATAAAGTCAGCAAAACATAAAAGTGCCATATGCAACTTTTCTGCAATGAGTCTGCCACATGCTTGTCTCCACTGAGATTTGTTTTGTCTCCCATAATGTTCCACAGCATGGTTTTAAACAGTGGCGGAGTTAGCAATTTGGGGGTCCTAGATGAACTTGAGTTTGGGGCCCTCACCTTTTTTTTTTTTTTTTTTTTTTTAAATATATTTATTGTCTGTTTTTCCTTATTGTTCTTGAGATATGCACATCTCTACTATATTTCTTACTTAAATTATGGTGGATTGGAAACTTGTCTTATTAGTTAGGGATCCTACTAGAAAACCAGAACTGAAAGTAGTTTTTTTTTTTTTTTTTTGCAAGTACAGTTACAGTTGTGTTCACATCCATTACACACAAGTACTATTATTTTTCTTATGATTATTGCTTAAAAATGAAAACTACTAGTACTACTAATGTCAATTGGCCTCGGCCATTAGCACCATGAGGGCAGTTGGTTGGGGGCCCTCCAGGTTTGGGGGCCCGAGCCTGCCGCCTACTTTTGCCTAATGGTAGCACCGCCTCTGGCTTTAAACTTACTTTTCACCATGGATTCAAGTTACAGGTCACATCTGTGAAGAAGTGACTGCGCTCACAATAAGAATGCATGTTTTTTAAATTTTCTTCCAGGTTTTTCTTTCTAGGTAAAGCAATAACATCGTGGAAACAAGCAAGCGACACTAGTCAGGCTGGCACCACCTAGTGCCTCTGCTCAATTTCATTTCTCTACAGCAACTAGGTCAGGAATCAAAATACAATAGACGGTTTGCAAAAACCCCGGAAGTGCAAGTTCGGGCACCAGCCAATCAGCGAAGAGACATATATTAAGTGTTGTCAACGATTCCCGAGACTGAGGATTTAAAGCCGGAATAAAGAGAATGTTTGGCGAATTTCATCAAGGGGAAAGACGTTATTGCCCTTCTTCCTACGGGATTTGGGAAAAGCTTAATATACCAGTTAGAGGTGCATTACAAAGGTCACAACCAAATAGCAGAGATTGGTTAAATGATAAAAAAGTACTTGCCTACCGTCGAGCAAACAAATTCTAACACTGCGAGGTCAGATGGTTTTTATGAAGTGAAATGAAGTGAAACCAGCTGATGAATCAGGCTAAAGCGACACACCCTCCACCAGAAAAAGTCCATCACGTCTTCAGAATATCACATGTACTCACTGTCCGTCTCACACGCAGCGGTCCCGTCGTTGGGGCAGAACCTGGTCTCCACCTTCCTCCTCCCGATCTGCAGCTCGTGGGGGTCACTGAGGTGGGCTCGGCACATGTATCGGACCCTCTGCTCCTGCCTGGCCCCGCCCTGGGTCACGTTCACGGGCATCCACGGGGTCCAAGGCGTGTTCCTCTTCACCTCCGGACACGACTCCAGGTTACACGCCTTATACTCCTGCGCAGCACGGAAAAGAACTGTGATTGGTGATGGATTTTTTGATGAGGGTTACTGTACTGATACTATAGTGGCATTGTGGTAGAAGAAAATGTGTCCGCTGCATTTGACCCATCCTTCAATACCTCCATCTCCAGATCTTGAGCTACTCTTGGTCAGGACTACCTTAGCTGGACCTATACTGTTCATGTTTTGGATTGATTGGGGAAACCAGAGTATCTGAAGGAAACCCACCCAGACACACGCAAACTGCCAAAGCACAGTCATCCTGGAACTCGAACCCGGAACCTTCTTGATGTGAGGCGTGTGTACTAACCAATCAGACACTGTGCGGCCATGGGTGGAAGATTACAGCAGCATCAAAGGGTGTAGCACTAATATGGCGTCAAAGGTGAACTCAACTGTGACATTTGCAAAGGTCTCGTGTAAATAATTCTATAGTGTTGAAAATAGGTTTAAGTTGGTCACAAGACTTTATAAATTTTGACTTTGGGCGACACCTCTGATAACTACACCTTCATTAACCACAGTAAAGCTTAGAACAAAGACCTTATACATAATGAACTGTTTATTAAGATGGTTTCGGGCTTAGTAACTACTTAATTAAGGTGTTAGAGTTAGGAGTTAGGATATTAATTAAGGTGATACCAACCTGAATCACCTCAAATGTATTAGTAATGAAGTTTTTTATGCTTTATTACGTTTATGCGTAAAGTGTAGCTATTTTAAAGAAGTACCTTACTTTTTTCTATTGCTTGGTTTCAGATGACACCACAACAATCTACAGGCCCATAATATTTAATAAAGATCAGAGCAGCTGAAATGAATACTGTTAAAATGTAGATATTTGTTGTATCACAGTGAGTAATGGGGGGTTCAACATTTGTGAATTTACCGTTTGGATATTTCATGGCAAAGTACAATGTAATCAATAGAGAAAACTGTATCTTGCCCCTTGGATGAGTATGACATCAGACTGTAGAATCTGAGAATCTCCAATATTTTCGATATGTATTCTGATTATACACCGTACATATGATTGAACAGAGCTAGTGTGCAAGCTGCAGTGTGAAGCAGGAGGTTCTTCCGGCTCCTTCTGACCCTGGCTCCTATTGACTTCCATACGGATCTTGTGGCTCCTCTATCTGTAACTGTGAGCCTCGTCATTTTGGTCTTAAAATGTTCATATTAATCCGCTCTACATGATCCATTTTCCAATTCTACATGAATTTTTCATTTCTATATTTTGTTCCAAAATCAAGATATGAACATAAATAACGGACCAATCAGATGCTTTCATTCCCCGAGGTCGCTCGCTAGTGCTAGGAACAGGTTTGATTGACAGCTAGTGCGTTTCGTTGTTAAGTAAGCCCCCTTCCCGCTCTCCTACCCTTCCACTGTTGGGGGGTCATCCTGTTTTGACAGGTTTGAATGACATTTACATTTATCCAATGACAGCATGACTTTTTCGGACTTTAACAAGTGGATCAAGGCATTTAATAAAACTATCATTAGACCGCTGCAAATATGGAGCCTGGCTCCAAATTCACTCCTGTAACCATTAGCATCAGGAGCCTCGTTTGAGTGGCGCTGAACGCTATGGGTGACGTCACACTTGCTTAGTCCACTTCTTTTAAACAGTTTATGATTCTGATCTATAGAAGCATGATGTTTGAGATGTTACCAGTGCACATCCGGGGCAGGTGTTCCCGTTCTCACAGCTCCTGACTCTGGAGTGGACTCCTCCTCCACACTCAGAGCTGCACTTGGTCCAGGAGCCCCACGGAGACCAGAAGATGGGCTGAGGACAGGCCACGCCCTCATTACAGAACCTACAGGACACAAGCAGGTAATGTGAACACTCTGGTGTACACTCTGGTATGGGAAAGTCATCAATATGTACGTCTGGAAGTGATACGTGGCTATAGGTGGAGGGTCCATCAAATACTTTTCCCCGTGGATATGTTACTGCTTTGTCTGGAATGTTTCACAGTATAACATGAAACCTTTCAATCTTCATGGAGACCAAACCAGACTAAGTTACAGGTCAGATCTGTGAAGATGACCCCGCTCAGTTTTTGTTTTTCTAGCTATTTTTGAGCTATAAAACCACCTGTAATTGATAAATGTGAGGTAGAACTGTTTAAAGTCATACTGTGAAACATACCAAGCAGAGCCTCACAATGCCCCTTTAACATGTACAAAATATATTAACTTTAACATTTATAGGCCAGTTCTTTGTCAAGCCATACATTTATTACTAGGAGTGTAACGGTACATGTACTCATGGCGAATCATTTCGTACGGGACGTTCGGTTCTGTGCTTCAGTAAAGTTGCGCATTTTGTGTGTGTTTACATTCCTCGTAAAACTACGGCCGTTGTGCCGCAGTTCGCCTTTCGCCGGCACAGAATCTCCGCCCACAACCTCTATTATTTTTAATCACTGGGGACATTATAACTGTCAGCAGATCTGCACTTACTGCAGATAATGTGGACAAGCTGGTTTTTCTGACCAAAAATATGAAGATGGAGTAAAACTTCATCCTGGAACCGTTAGTGCTGCGCTTTACTTTTTGAAGTTTTGTTTACTATTTACAAGGAATACATTTTTTATAATATTTTATAAATTTGTTGCTTATTTGAGAATATTTTATTTAACTTTTTAGTATTACCAAGCAGCACTTTGCATTTATTTCATTTTCCCATTTGTACAATGTTAAAACAAATTCTTGATTTAATAAACACAAATAAACAACAAGCAAATGGTTTGGCATTTTGTTCCCAAACTGTACTGAAAATGAACCGAGCCGTGACTTTCAAAACTGAGGTATGTACCGAACCGTGATTTTTGTGTACTGTTACACACATGAAAAAGGATACAGCCTTCAGTTGCAGTGCAGTGATTTACATTTTTACTGGAGAACTAGCTGTAAAAATCTGTGAAACAACAGGAGGCCTATGTTAAATTGACTTTCTGTTACGGTGAGTTGAAACATGTCACCATCATGCACTCTTCATTCTGCAATCTACATCCTGGTTCATTACACAACTGTACATTATAAAACAAATGGAAGAATGTGCGTTGAATAGTTTTATTAGTCATTCTCTCACCTCTCGTCTCGGCTGGGCCCCACACACACCCGCCCTCCGTGTCGGGGGGAGGGGTTATTACACGACCTCTGTCTCAGCTCAAACCCAGTGCCACAGGTCGTACTGCACTGTCCCCATGACGACCAGGGAGTCCAGCCCCCGTTTCTACGACGACAGAGAGAAAACAAATCAGTATCAGCATTAAGGAACAATCAAGAGCTTGCTGGCCTGGGTTGAAGTACACATCACTCAAAATGTAATACTTTGAAAATACATGTAAAATCAATACTGTGAACTTCTGCCCTTTGAATGTGACAGGATCTATATAATATTCCAGAATCTGCTACTACTGAATGCTATTATTTGTTCATCTAATCCTGATGACACCGTCTCCTATTAAATTCAGGTTTAAAGGGTCCATATTACGATTCTCTAACTTATAATGTTGTTTCCTCATCATAAACATACCTGGAGTTGTGTTTTGTTTCATTCACACATACTTAGCACACACGTCCTGCATATTTAAGTGTTCTTTTCTCCAATTGAAAAGACTCTGTTCACCTTGTGATGCCATGTGGTAATACAAGATGTTCTTACACCTTCACATCTGGATATTTTGAGCCTTAGAATTACTCATCTCTGAACAAAAGATATAATGGTTGTTTTTTATATCGTGCTTCTCCACACTTAAGGCACTCAAAGCGCTTTACAACAAGGAACCACTCACCCATTCATACATCAGTGTACACAGGCACTGGGAGCAAGGTGGGTTAAGCCAAAGATGTTCATTTTGTCTTCTTATGTACTTCAACTTCTTGGGTTCTTTTTAAAGACAATACAGTAAAGTGTATTTACCTTGTTGACATGTTTTGGCTGTTGCTACAAGTCATCTTCAGAACTGTCTCCGGAGTTGGTGGTGACGTGTCGTATATCAGCTGTTTTTACTTCCAGTGGGCGTGGTCAGCCTGACGGACCTAGCAGATTGACCACGCCTCCCGTTGCTCTGTGTTTTCTGGAGGAGGGTGTCCCAGGTGTGTGGAAGGAGGAACGCTCCGTCATCATGGTTAATGCTGTCCATGCCTCGTTTCCTGATTTCAATGGCCTCTCTGATCCAGCATTTGAACTTGTTATTTTCCGATCCAGTGACCCGAGCCCCGTCCCGATCCAGAATGTTGTTTTTTTTTTTTTACAGTGGTCTCATATGGTAGATTTGAGGTTTTCCTTCTGCTTTGTCTTCTTGTGTTCTGGTGAGTCTCCCTGATGTTTCCTTTTCACATTCCTTTTGTTATTTTTTTTTTTGGATGTGAAATGCCCGGCCAGTTTCCTGTGTCTGATTCATTGCATGATTTCTATTGGATTTCGTTTATGGTGTTGCATTGTTGTTCTTGTGGGATTTTATCTTTGGGGTGTACTAGCTGTTGACGGAGTTTTGTGTGTGGTTTGACTATAGTGCTTATGTTGTGTCTTTTCATGGCTCTATGGACGGGTTCAGTTATTCCTCTAATGCACAGGTGTCAAACATACGGCCCGGGGCCCAGATCCGGCCCTCCAAGACCTTTAATTTGGCCCTTAGCTGATTTTCTACTAAAATATTTTAATTATATTTTCTATTAAAATATTGGTAATTTTCTGTGGTGTTTATCACAGCAGCGTCTCCAGTGTCTCTGTACGTGGCCCCTCCCACCAGAGCAGCACAAATGAAGACTTGTCTCTTTCCAAACGCTCTTAAAGGACGATCGTTTTGACTGTTGACCGTGACACCCTCATCAGAAAAATGTCCAACATGAGAAAAGTGGAGCCGAGTGCAGCATTTTACAAGAAAAATTTACTTATTCCTATTTGCATACAAGTTCATATTAAAACATTGTGTTGAAATTGCATTTTTCAGGTTGTTCATAATAATATAATATTTTGTAAAAGAAAGAGTTCATCCATTAAAAAAAAAATTCTATAATAGATTTGTGTTTCTCTGCACAAATATTTGAACTTATTGTTATTTTTGGGGTTTATATGACACGAGTTTTCTGATCCGGCCCCTTTGGGATAAAAGTCGGTTGGATACGGCCCCCAGAACAAAATGAGTTTGACACCCCTGATCTAATGTATGCAAGTATGACTATGTTCTTATGGTCCTGCTGCCCTCTATTGTTTTTCTGTGTTTTAGAAGCCGAAACATGTCAACAAGGTAAATACTCTTTACTGTATTGTCTTTAAAAAGAACCCAAGAAGTTGAAGGTAGGTTAAGTGTCTTGCCCAAGGACATAACGACAGCATTCATCTGAAAGAGCTGGAATCACATGTCAACCTGTGGGTCAGTGGATCTGAACACTTTACCGATGATGTTTATGTCGAGAGCGAGATTCAAACCACCAACCTTCTGATCAGTGCACACTCCTACCAAGTGAGCTACTGTCACCCAGTAAAAGGAAGCTATTAAGTTGAAAACTACATGCTTCATGACATCACAAGGTCGAGCTTTGGAGATGTAGATAAAGGATTACTCAAACATGTGTGAATGAAGACACAGTTCCAGGTATGTTTTTGAGGAGGTAACAGCATTATAATATGGCTTAAACATCACAATGTTGACAATTTTGCATAATATAGGACTTTTAAGACTGACCTTGTGATTGTATTGTGAATTTTTCCATTGACCAAACTGCATTCATAAATGCTAAATTGTGGTCCCCAACCTTTGTTGCACCACAGACCGATTTTATATCTGAGAATATTTTGCGGACCAGAGGGGGTTGGGGGGTTAGCATGGTTAAGTCCTGGCTAAATCCTGTTTTAGACCTGTTTCAGTACTGTTTTAGGTTTAGTCCTGGTTTAGACCTGGTTTAGACTTGGTTTAGACCTGGTTTAATCCTGGTTTATTCCTGGTTTTAGTTCTGGTATAGAGGCGAAGCCCATGCTCGTGAGGGAGGGGGCCAGTCCATGCGGCATGGTTAAGTCCCGGCTAAATCTTGTTTTAGTCCTGTTTTAGTCCTGATTTTAGTTCTGGTTTAGACTGGTTTTAGACCCTGTTTTAGATCTGTTTTAGTCCTGGCTTAGACCTGGTTTAGACCTGGTTTAATCCTGGTTTCGATCCTGGTTTCGCGGCCTGGTACCAAACGACCCATGGCTCAGGGTTGGGGACCCCTGTTCTAGCCTACTGTAGTCATTTCTGTTCATTTTTGCATTTAGAATTGTTCATACTATTTCATGCTTTTTTTCGTTTCTTCAAGTTTGAGCAATCCTGTATTATTTGTCTGTCTACATATCCAAAGCTCATAATGCTCTGTTGCACCTTGTGATGTCATGTAGTACTAACAGCTACCTTTTACCTTTTGTTTAGTAAAGACTGCAAATTTTAGACCTGAAATGATCTAGAAGATGTATGGAGTGTTTTCAGTTTGAGAGAATGCTGTGTTTGTGTGTTAAACAGGGGCGAATGAAACTAAACTCCCGCTATGTTTGTGATGAAGAAACAGCATTGTAACATAGAACAGAAAATAGCGCAATATGAGTCCTTAAAGTCTTTTCTCCGTTATATCTTCTCCTCCGCTCTGCTCCTGTGCTGTTGTAATGGCTGTAGTAGCAGACACTGTGTACTAACTCAGAACACTCATTCAATTTGCTTAAGTGCTGTGTTCCTCCACTGCTCAGATCCTGATTTAATTGCCACTTTTTGCACAACCACAATTCAATTTTGACACACAAGATTGAAACAGGCTCAGTTTTTTTTACGTCTTAAATTTTGATTGGCCGATTTCCTGCTAAAGTGGTGAGAAAGAAGAATGGTGAGTTGTTTTCCTAATGAAGTTCTCCACGTTCAGGCAGTTCCTCCAGGCGTGAGTGGTGCAATATTGGTCTGAAAGTGATTTGGAGTTGTACAAAGTGGACGAGTGCTCAAGCTAAGGTGCTCGAATCATGCAAGAAGATGTCGAAATTGTCGCAAAAAATCATAATTTCAGCGAGTAAAGAAGCGTGGGATAAACCTGCAATTTTCTACTTTTAACCAAAGTTTTCTTCACAAACTGTCACTTGCCTCTTGTAAGACAATACTTAGAATCATATAAATGGTATTATTCCACTAAAAGGCATTTTAAAGCCCGTTTAGTTCAAACATAGTGATACAATGAAGAAAAAATACCTTAAAATGTATAAGAAAAACAGTTTTGGTTAATGCCAATTGGATAACCTGTACTTCATCTCTATTTTATACTCATTCATATAGCTTTTTGTTGAACTTTTAACTGTTTGCTATAGAAATTTTAAGGTTAAAGGTGCACTATGTAACTTCTCTGTTGTGTTCTTTTCTGCCATGGAGATGTTAGAGATTTGCCCAGAGGTGGGACTTGGACTCAAGTCAGACTTGAGTCACTATTTTTAGAACTTGAGACTTGACTTGATAAAGTAGACTAAGACTTGGGACTTGCCTTGGACTTGAGGCCTGTGACTTAAGAAGACTTGGTGCTTCTAAAAAAAAGATCTGTTTCTAGAAAATACTTGATAAATTGTTGATAAATGCGGTGCTGAATTTTAGGAGCAAACTAGAACATGTCCCTCCCACTTCTATTTTTTACTTTGGATGTAACTGACGTTCTCTGAGATGGTATCATCAAATGTACTACAGTAATATATAGTACATACAGTATATACAGTACAATGCAGTAAAACAAAGAGAACTAAAGAAAACATGATCTTTCCTTTTCAGTGCAGACTACCTAATAAAATAACTGTTATTAAGCACTTTTAAACTTGAATTCTTTCTATTCTGACTGAAATGATTCACTCCAAGATCTTATCAAGACATTTAAAAAGGAAAAATTAACATTTCTACAACTCTTATATAAACACTCATATAAATATACCATGGATTTTTAAGTACAGTTTAGTTTAAAATTCAAATAAATTACAAAATTCTAAGCTATATTTGGTACTTTAGTTTAAAGACTTGAAATGACTTGAAGCTTAAAGCAGATGACTTGGGACTTGACTCAGACTTGAGGTCAAAGACTCGAGACTTACTTGTGACTTGCAAAACGACGACTTGGTCCCACCTCTGGTTTTGCCTGCAATGTTCTACAGTGTCACTGAACTTATCTATCTTGTATTTATTCAATTACAAGTGTTGTTATCGCTCGCCTCTCCCCAGATCTGACCTGCAGCTTGGTCTGGTTGTGTGACTTGCTTGTCTCTATGGTGACAGACAAGTTTAATGACATACTGTGGAACATTCCAGGCAAAGTAATGAGACAAGAGGCTGATAGACCCTCCAAAAGCACCTTTAAAGTAGACTAAAAAATTAGGACTGTTACCACGGCAATTAAGAATTTAAAATGAAATATTATGCCTTTTGAATGGAATGGTAAAAAGTCCTCAAAATGTCGCCCATAAAAAGAAACGAAAGCCCAGGAATAGATGTTATGATGTCACCTGAAACTCACTGATTGATTGTTCGATCTCGTTTCTCACCTGGAGCAGTTGGACACTTCGATGGTGGCTCCTTCACAGCTCCGCCCCCCACAGCGAGGGGCGGGGCTGTCACATGACCTCGACCGGCACAAACAGGAAGTCACGCCCTCCAGACCGTCATCATTGTTGCAGGGTTGCCACGGCGCCCACGCTCCGAAGCCGCCATTGGTCGTCTGGTTTCTCAGCTGCAGTTTAGAAAAGCCAAAGTTATAATCAGAAAAACAAAGAATGACAGAGTGTGGTGGGTGAATCGTGTGGCCATGGTTTAAGCTAGAATGGACGTGACTCCATAAAAATAGATATTTCCATGGTAACAAGCAGGCGCACCATATTCTAGGTCATGTTTGAGTCAGGTTTGTGGAGATACAAGCCCGCTCACCGAAAGGGTATGTTTTTCAAAATTTTTTAGTTTAATAAAAACATCCGTAATTAAAAAAAAGGTCTATTTCAGTCTATCTCTTGGCTAAAAAGTTACATAGTGGGGCTTTAACTTTTATATGGCAACACCAGATTACAAACTGACAAATTAATACAAGAATCTAATGTTTTTCAGAAACAGGGTTAGCAGCTTTTATACTCCATTTGTAACATGGCATTTCGTTTTGGTCAAAATATATAAATAATAAATAATAATTACTGTTCCTGTAACATATTTTCTTGTGTTTAATTTCATTGCAATTAGCCTGCGAGCGCTACTGACTAGTGTCTATCTCCCTTCTCCCTCAAAATCTCATAAAGAAGTCATCATCTGCTGGAATGAAATGACCTCATGCAGTCCAGATGTGTGGGGTTTATTGTGACTGTAAAAGTACTGCATATTCTGCTCGGAATAATTTAGTCTGTGTATTAGTATAAGGATGAAGTCAGTCATAAGTATGTAGTAATACAGTAGTATAAGGATGAAGTGAGTTGCATGTATGTACTAGTACAGTAGTATAAAGATGTTGTCAGCCGTGTGTACAGTATGTGTATTAGTCTAAGGCTGTAGTGACTCATATGTACTCTAGTAGTATAAGGATGCAGTGGTTCTCACAGGGCAGACGGAGATGTTCTGTTTCCACTGGCTCATGTTGGAGCTGTCCTCTAAAGTGGTGCAGCGTCTCTGTCTGAAGTCCCAGCCACAGTACGGGTCCCGCGCCTCCAGACACAACCTGATAGAGACAGAGAGAGGGGACGGGTTATTTTATTAGTTCTGGTGTATATTTATATATCGCCTCCTAAGACACCCAGAGCTTTACACAACATTATTCATTCACTCCACACTTGGTGATGGTGAGATACTCCTGTAGCCACAGCTGCTCTGGGGAAGACTGAATCAAGGCTGGTAATCCGACCACCACCAACACTCACACCACACCATATTCATACTAGGCAAGGTGGGGGTCTGGTGTCTTGCAAGTGTCTTAGCTAAGGACCCAACAACAGTGAGGGAATCACTGCGACCTTCAGGTTGGACAACCACCACTCTAACCACTGTGGCCCCAGTAAGTTTGTAGCGTTCACAAACCCTTTGGCACATATGCAATCATTTTCATGCAGAGGTGAACCTCTGGCTGCAACCTGCAGATCAGGGAGTGGCTCAACTTGGGTGGAGCTCAGCGTTTGACTCCACCTACTTTACCAATAACACCCCAAAATCAAAAACCCCAAAATCATTTTTTGGCCATAATTCTGTCATGAATCATCCGATTTATATTCATTTGCCATTTTATGTATGTATGTATGTATGTATTTGTGTATTTATTTATTTTTCATTTATTTTCAATGAAGTCTTATTATTTGTTGCACTGAAGGGCACACAACGTGAATAAAATATAATTTCACATGATTTAGTGGTACTGTGAGATTGACTTGTAGGACTTTACACAGTATTCATCTAGCATCCACCCAGAATGACATGTATATTTCTATATGTTGATCTATATGTCACACCGTGAAGCATTTCAGTGCCGACTGACGTTTCAATGTGTTGCTTGATCTTTGGCACCAGTGCAAAGCCAAATGTTGAGCCCAGACTACTGGGGCGTGGCCAGACATTGAGCTCCACCCTGTATTTCCCCAAACCCAGATCTGCGGGCTGCAGCCAGGGGCACTTGACAGTTTTAGTACAGTTTTAGTACAGTTTTTCAGACCACTGAAGTGAAACTGGAGAGGACCTCCCAATCAGAGCTCTGCTTTTGGTACTTCCCGGTTGACAAGAAATAAAAAGTGCATTATTAGCTGCGAGCTATAGCAGCGGTCTCATTTTGCAAACATGTCTATAGTACAAAAGAAAATATTACGCTCACTTCAGAAATGTAAAGACACTTAAGGGTGTATCAACAGTGTCACTCCACTGAGTACAGTCAAGTGCCTCCTCCTTCTCTTTCTCTCCTGTCTATCTCTCTGTCTCTCTGCCTCTCTCTCTCATCCCAGTCCTCTCTTATTAAATATTAGTGAGCTCCCGGGCTAAAGCTGAAGTTAACGACTTTCGATTAAAGCTAAAGCCGCTAATGAGCGAGCTAAGCCTCCGGAGCTGCGGGGGGCGCTTCAGGAGAGACAAAAATAAACTGTATTTGGGTGTTGCATCATTCAAAGAGACTTGGCAGAAATTAAAAGAGAAAGAAAAAATATGAAATGAGTGAAATTCCCCAGTTGTATGGTGTTGGTGTTATGTTTTTTTTGTATATACCAGATGCCCTGCCTCCTTCTTTATTCAGGAAGTTGCTACAGCGGCATCATTATTATTCTAGTTGTTCGAGTTTTCATGAGACTAAATAAGTTCTACACAGACTACACAGCTGTTATAAAGCCTCACACAGAATCAGTGCAGTGTTGACTTGTTGTAGTACTCAATTTTGTAAGTAAAAGTACAGATACAAGGTGAAAAATTACTGAAGTAAAAATAAAAGTATCACATGAAAAAATTTCCTCAAGTAAAAGTATTTAAGAATCTGTTTCAAAATGTACTTTAAGAGTAAAAAGTAAGAGTATTTCACACAGTACTTGTTAATTTGTTAAATGTAGTAATAATGATTAAAAATTATACATATATTCATAGTAACTAATCAGTTTCTCATGAATTCTGTGTATTTATTTTTGTGTGCTCAAAGCCAAACCTTGAATTAAAAAATGTAGTTAGGATGTCACCACGAACATGGTACAATAATCCCTAAAATCATTTAAAAAGTACTTTTTTCTTTACAGTTCTGTGCAAAAATGTAGTGGAGTCGCTCTCAAATGTGAAAAAAGTAAAAGTAAAGTAAAAGTAAAGTAGTAAGTATTAAGTAAAAAACTAGTAGTAATAGTAAGTAAATGTAAAAAAGTATCCACTGTACAATGCTTAAAGATGCATTGTGTACATTTTCTGGTGGAGGGTCCATCAAATACTTTTCTCCATGGGGATGTTATTGCTTTGTTGGGAATGTTTCACAGTATGGCATTAAACCTTTCTAACGTCATGGAGACCAAACAAGACCAAGTTACAGGTCAGATCTGTGGCGAGGCGACCCGCTCACAGTCAGAATAGCTGTTTTCTAGGTAATTGAGCTACAAAACCATCTGTAACTGAACAAATGTAAGGTAGAGTTGTTTAATGTCATACTGTGGAACATTCCAGGCAGAGCAAAGCACAGATTCTTCAAGTACAGGTACTTCATTACCTTCCACTACTGTGTTTTAGTAGTAAGTCGTTTCTATGTGTGTACTTAAATGAATGGGGTTCCTGCTTAACCTGAAGTGCACGGTAGAAGCAGTCAGAAGCAGAAGTGGACAGGCAGATTAAGGTGAAAAGCTTTTAGTGCTTTAACAAAAATGTCTCTCTTATTTCCAGTCCGGAACGGCGTATCTCTCTATTACCACTTACCTCTAAAACCAAACATCATCCAGTCAGATTATTTGTTTATTTCAGTGACACGTATACGAAACGAAGGAGCTCATTGGTCACATATCATTTCCAAACAAAATTTCTCTCAGAGTTTAATGCTTCGCTCACTGATTCTCCAGAAAACCACACAATTTCTCAGTCCTCTATGATATTTTTCCATTTTCTTTTTTCCTCACGTTTGTTTTGATACTGATGGACCCTGCATGTTCCCCATTGGCTAATCCCCCTGTCAATCAAAAGTGACCAGACTCACATCTTCGTAAAGTACAGAAAACGTGTGTATACTTGGATTATTTGTGGAGCTGTGCGGTGTTTTTGCTTCCAGCCTTTCTTTGTACCAACCCCGAGTATCTGTGCTCAAACCCGGGGCATCTGATCTAATAGAAATTAAGTGCAAAGACAACAAAAAAAGAACACAATCATCACAATAGCTATGAAAGTTAGACTGGCACTCTTCTGTTCACTTCAGCACTTGTTTAAAAGATAGGGTTACCATGTGGTCTTATATCTGTGTACTCCCTCAGTGGTCCAGGTAGGTTCCATAATGGTCCATGTGTAGTCTATGTATTTTTATACTAGTTCTGATACAGGTCAAGATCATTCTAAAGTGATTCAGAAAAGGCTCATTTCTGTTCTGTCAATGTGACTTTTTTGGTATCGATACCTGCTCAAATGAGTATCTAGAGTCGATACCAGTGATGGACGAAGAACCCAAATTTGTACAGATAACCGAAATACTCAAGTAAAAATAGTTGCATATATTTAGAGATCTAATAAAGCTTCAAATGTAGTGATTTTGATACAGATTTATGTTGAATTTTGTTCAATAAACACAAACTACAGAAGTATTAAAAATAAAAGCTTTTCAGAAGACCTCTAACAATAATAATAAAAATACTTTTACTTTTCAGGTCTTTTCAGTCCTTCAAAAATGTAGTGGAGTAGAAAGTACTGATACCTGCTCTCAAATGTAGTGAAGCAAAATTAAAAAGTATCCACTGTAATATCTACTTAAGTAAAATAGAGATGCATAAAATGTATACTCAGGGCCTGTTTACACGAGAACGCTTGTGTGTAAAAACGACAAAATATTTTATTGGAAGTGAAAAATGCAAAAATCTGAAACCACCCTCGAGACTGGAAAAGTTGAATACGCTCTGCCGTAGCGTTTCCTTCTACACTGCCCAAGACGCAAAACTCTGGTCAGATCTGCTCAGGTTGTGTATGCGTTTACGTCACACACATACAGTACACAGAAACAAACATGTCGGATGGCGTGCATACCCAATCGAATTCCAAACATTTTTGCGTCACTGTATGCACACAGATTTCCTCCCAAAAACGCTTGTCTAAATGTGGAATAAAAAGTGAAGACGCGACACCACTTTTGTGTCTTCTGTTCAGACTGTCATCATATAAACGTAGCCATAATACAGTACTACTTCCACTTTGTTACGTTCCATCATGGGTCCATACAAGTTTTAGTATTGATTTTTGATACATTTGACAATCCTTACACATGACAAACTACGTGACAGATATCTGTGTAATGTCTCCCTCTTCTCTTGTACTGCAGAAGCCGCCCTTTCTCTGAGCAGGTCACTTTCCTCTGAGTGCTTTGGCTTCACCTTGTGCAGATGCCAGTTTAATTAAGCCATGTAGATGTAATCACTGATGAGTCCTGAGGGGTAATTACAGCCTAGGTCGACCCCGCCCCTCCCGCTCTCCTGTCCCTCCTCCTCCCATTTCCCTGCCCCTCCCTCCCCCCTCTGCTGAACCCCAGGCTGTTTAAAGGGCAGTGAGAGGGGAACGGTGGTATGTCTCTCAAGGGCGGACATTTTGAATCCCTTTGCCTTCTGTAATGTTCCCATCATGTTTAAACTGTTTGTGCCATTACGCCAGCACAGTCCTAATACAGCAATCAGTGTGTAAGTGTACCTCTGAAAATGCACGTTCACTCAGGTAGAAAGTAAACAGTATTGTAGAAAAGCTCTGAGCCCAATTAGGCCTGGTGTACTGTCTGGATGTTTGTGAGGTGCACCAGTGGTGGCACGGGGGTTAAGTGTTTATGTAAGTGTTACTGTATTCACACTTCACAGCCAAAAGGCTCCAGGTTGTCTCTGGTGTCCCTCATCAACCCGAAACAGTAAAGAGAAAAACACAGACATATTCCCTGTCCACAAATGTACAAAGCTCTTACCTTCTGCTCATTTTTCACAAACTAAAGAGTCAGTATTTTCCCTAAAATAGGCTAAAGTGTGTCTCTTGTCGTTGCCATGTTTGTTT